AGCTTACAAAGGAACACGTAATTATGATCTTTGAGTCAATGTTTGTATTTTACAGATTACAGAAGGATGCTGTTCAAAGTCGGCCATATCATTTCAATGTGTTGATTCCAGCTGCTTTTATCAGATGGAATATATCATCTACAGACTGCGTGCGTTCGGCTTAAGCTGAACTCAGGAATCTTTGAAAATTGAACCAATATTTGTAAATGGGAATTTCCAGGATGTTACCCATTTGGAGTTTTGAAATGACTGTAGCAAACTAAGCCAAAGACACAGACTAATCAATTCTATTAAATTATATATGTCATGAATGCGTTGTACTGTATAAAATGAAAATATTTGGAGAAACTTCATCAAATGTTCTCCTTGTACAGTCGTTTGGCTCATTCCTCTTGAACCATTTTAAATATATCTAGTTAAATTCCATTGTGAGTATCACTGTTGGAAACGTTCTGGGTAGGCGGCTCGTGCCCCATTATAATGCCATATGGATGCATTTTGTATAGCAAATATTCAAACATATACATCTGATAGTAAATCACATAGTGAATTGTTGTGGCATAGGTTGAACAGCATTCTAGTCCCTTTAATAAAGATTATTATATTGGCATTATACTGAATTAAAATTTAAAGACAAACACACCACGTACCTCTTTAAATTTGTAATAAGCAAAATCATACAACCAAAAATCTTTATCCAAGCTTCCGGGTATTATCATGCTCTCCACTGAGAGTGGCAGAAATCTATGTCGTCCATTAGGATCTCTAGAATCACCAGCACTCACATTGCACTTGCTTAAACAAAGGCCCATTTCGAAATCTTCGGTGCCCATTTGGTTTTCATTGCATCGGCCCGAATTGAGCCCGTGCTCGACCAGACGACGCACTGCCTCCCGGCTGAGCACGTACCCAGCGCCGCCAGACATATAGCCCTGCTTGACATATGGCTTGAACTTGCAGCCAAAGTAGACAGGCTCATCGGGTTTATGGGTATGCAGCATATAGCGCATATTATCAATTATGGCATATGTATCATCGTCTGCCTTAAAGAACCAATCCGCCTCGTCCAGATGATGTGTATAAACGTGTTTAAAAGCAGCCTTCGCCTTGCCCCACAGATAATCGTAGCCCTCGGTAACGTTCAGCGCTACTGTGGGCACTCCCGTTGCGCTCTTCTGCGTTCGACTGCTAAACACAATTAACTTGTTGCAGCGCCGTCCCCAGGTTTGTCGGATTGACTTGGCTACTTTCTCGTAGTTATGCGGATAGGTCAGCAGCACGCAGAGAATGCGCACCTGCTTGTAGAGCTGCTTGGCTACGGTGTCATCCGCAGACAGCGCCGGTAACTGAACAACCGAGTCTTGTGGCAGTGCTGGCATGCCATTTATGTGTCCATATGGACGCAGATGGTAGAGCAAATATTCTAGCACATGCAGCTGATTTGCTGTTGCATAGGGAAAAGTAATCGGCATCTCCATGCAGCTATTAAAGCCCTGTTAAAGAACAAAATGGTTATAAGGATTTTAGAATTGAAGTGGTAGATTTCCCCACCTGCTCGGTATAGACTGCACGGTGTATGTATGGCCACATCCAAAACTCGGAGCGCATCGTAAAGGGCAACACCTCGGCTGGCGCCTGAAATGGAAAGAGCTGCTCGTTGGGGCCCTGTTCCATTTTAGCAAGACATGCGGCAAAATTGTTGGGCAGACACTCGTGTTCCTGCAGCAGCTGCTGCAGTGCACCACGACTGAATATATAATCCGTGGTATCTCTCAGACTAACATGGGCATAGGGATAGGCAGCATGGAATGCGCTAAAGTAAATCAACTGATTTGGCGCATAGCTGGCCAGTTTGTAGCGTACGTTCTCCATAATCACATAGCTGTCTACATGCACATGCAGCAGCCAATCCAAGTCCAAGTACTGAATGCTAGCGATGCGTCGATAGGCCTTGGCTGCATCCGGCGCTTTGCTAATGTGCATCCGATTGCAGCGTGCGCCCCAGGTTTTCAGTACATGCTTTGCCTTGCGACGCTCGTGATAATTGGTCAAGTGCAGCAGGCAGTGTATACGAACTTTGTTATACATCTGCTCGGCGATGCTCAGGTTGTCCCACGTCTGATTCCGCGTACCCACGTCGAAGTCTGTGACCCGCTCTTTATATGGCGGCTGTAGATAGTCCTTTAAGGCAATACCGGCACGACTAAATGCAAATATATATAGCTCCAGGAGTAGGAACCAGAATGCACAACTAGCTAGTAATGCCAAGCTCGTGGGACCTAATAGGCGCTTCAAACGTTCCAGCAGCATTTTCAAAAAATATTTAAATTGTTTTATTTGCGCATTTGTCAAATCAGTTATTTCCTAATGTTGCCAGACTGCTTAACCCGGGACTAGCTCAATTGTTTATTTTGGAGCCAGGTTGTGAGCTGCCATCCGCTGCCGTTGCCAGACTGTTGTATTGGAAATATTTTGTTTCAACTACTTTAAGGTACGCGCAAAACCAATAAGTAAATAAAGATCACTGCTTAAAAACAACGAGAAGTTTGCATGCACTGCCATTTTGAAAAAACCTGCCAGAAGTTAAATACAATAAGGTCTGTGCTGTGCTGTGAATAAAAGTGAGCAAGTGCCTCGTTTAAATAATAAGTAGCATTCATTTGTAAAATATATGCAACTGCAAATACTAAGTTGAACAATGCCAGACGTCATATATTGGCGATGCCGGACTGATATAAAAGTATAGGTAGATTAGATTACGGAACTTGCTGACTCTGTGGTGAACCAGCGCTCCGATATTTTGAGCCAGCTTTATTTTTGTGGTTCTTTCAACTTCTTTAATGTCGCGCCAATAACGTAACAAACTAAAAGTAATATATGAGTGCAAAATGTGTTTAATCAGAAGATAAATTGATATATGAATTTAAGTCAAGTAAACGGGCAAGTGAAATACATGTATTACAGCAACCTTAAAAGCTGCAATTCCAATTGCAGCTGGGCCGCCAGCTGAAGCATCGTCGCCAAAAAATGTAGCCGTGCTTGGTTTTATATTTTAATATGTGCAGTGTTACTCCAAAGAATAGTAAAGTGCAGTGTAATTGGTAATTAAATATATGTTTTATTATGCAGTGTAATATATATATTAAGTGCATATAGTTATGTATAATAAAGTGCATTGCATTGTTATTTCTCTTTAATGAAGATCAGATCTTTGCACTTCATGAGCAAAAAAGCAGAGCAAATTGTGTATGTGTGCGTGCAAGTGTATTGAATCAAAGAAAAGAGGAACAAGTGAAAGTGAAAGTAAAGAAGAAATAAAGAACAGTTATATACGTGCTGACGAACATAATATACACTTTACAGAAAAACAACTAAATTTAGATATATTTATATAACGATTGTTTTCTGCAAGGGTATAACAAGTGGAAGTGAAAGTGCGCAATAAAAAGATACAATATTGATTAAATTCTGCCAGTTGGAGATTTCAGTGAATTAAGCAAAAGTAAGTGGATCAAATATTTGATTTTCTAAATAATTTAAAAATAACATGATACAACATAAATTAGATATTTAAAAATGACCGCTTGCATATCAGAAATCATCAGAAACTATTTTTGTATAGAATAAATTCAGATTTTAGCAAATTTTACCATTCAATGTGTGTTTTCAATAAGATTATTGAATATTCATTTTCGTACAAATAAAAATTATATTCAAATCGTTTTGTCTACTTACCCATTGAAATTGGCTAACAAGGGTAGCATGGTTTTGTGTGTGTTTAACAGGAGAAGAACGCATTTCCGACATTATAAAGTTTACATATTCTTGGTCAGCATCAATAGCCCATTCGATCTAGCCATGTCCGACTGTCCGTCTGTCCGTCTAACCGTCCGTTCGATCATAGAACCTATAAGAGCTTGAGACTGGAATTTTGAACATAGTTCCTACGAGTTTGTTTCGGATAACTTTGCCCGTGTTTCCAGAGCAATTGATAAGATACAATATCGCAATTTTGTTGTTGGAGCAAATATCTTTGTTTTTAAAGGCTAGAGTCACCGAATTCGATATGTAGCTTCTAGAATAGTGTGCACAGAACAAGTATCTTTCATTTTCTATTTATATACCTATAAATCACCATCTTTATTTTCGTAATGTATATTTATCAATGCTAAGGCATTGCTAGAAGACGGTTCAGGGTATCCGCTAGTCGGGCAATCCCGACAACAGCATTCTTATTTGTTTTAAATGGTTTGGTTAAGTTATGGTTTGGCTATTTTTTTGGCAACTGATTCAGTTCAACGTTTGGCCTATGACAAACACGAATTGGTATATGCGGGGCAGAAATGGTTTGGTTCAAAACCAATTTGGAGACTTCGCAACAATTATTCATGTTTATACCCTTGTAGAGGATATTTGTCATAAAATGTGTAATGCATAGAAGAAGACATCTACGGCCTCATTTATTATATATATTATATTATGGATCAGCGACGATATAGCCATGTTCCTCTGCCTGTATGTTTCTAAGCGTACGTTTTAAGGCTATCGTCTTAAATTTTCCAAATGAACCTGAAACACGTATTCATTAAGTTCTTATGTAGAGCTTCGAAAATAAGTTTCGAAAAAAAATTAAAACTTCACCAAAAATATCTTAGAATCGCACTGTTTACCGAGGAAGCTTTAATTATGCGAAAAATGTTAAACACGTCTCAAATGATTTTTCATATAGATCCTTGGAAATGAATTTGAGCGCGAAAATCACCTAACAAACATTTGACCCCCATTTCGAAAAGTGTTAAACACCCCTTAAATAAATTTAAACAAAGATCTCTGAAAATGAGTTTAAGGCCGATCGGATGGTAAAGAAAAAAAGTTTCATACAAACATTTTTCACGATTTTTCCACACATGCGGGCGGAATTTCCCGAATCCTCGTCTTAATAACTTAACTCTGCACATAAAAAAAGTCTGGGCACACACAAAATGTGCATCAGACGACAATTGAGCAATGAGGCTTATTTAAAGCGTATTTTATTTTTATTTATAAATAATCTTACAATGATAAAATACGAATTTTACGTGCTCTTATCTTCTTCTGAATATAGATCATTTAAATCTTCAAGTTTTTTTACTTCTCTTTTCAGTTTTTTGATTTCTGTTACCATTTTCGAGTTCTCTTTCGGCTTTGATTTCTCTTCTAAATCGGCTTCCTTCGAATTAACTTCTCTCGCATCAGGTTCTGTCGGAGCCAAAGTTGTTGTATTCGCCAACCTGTCTTCATCATCGATGGAATCCTCGTTGCTGTTGGCGGGCTCCTCCTTTGGCGGCGGAAGGAACTCACCTACTGCCAGCTTAGCGGGCAACTCTTGCTGCGTCCTTACCACTCCATAGGGTTTTAGGTGATAGATCAAATAATCTAGAGCATACATCAGATTTGGCCCCACATAGTGAAATGAAATGGCATTATCCGAACAGCAATCGAGACCCTTTAACAAAATAATTGATGCCAATCATTTGCTTAACTGAATATTAGAACTTACATCATCCGTCTTATAAAAAAGATAATTCCAATACCAATACCCTTTGTCTCTGTTGGGTATTAAATGATGCTCAGGCACAAAGGGAAACATGCGACCGCGTCCGTTCACATCACGGGAATCGCCTGCAGTCACATTTAGATTCTCCATGCATTTTCCAATTTCAATATCCTCGTTGATAACGGTGCCCTGTAGACACATCTTGGGATCGGGTATGCCGTCAACAACAAATCGTCGCAGTGCCTCCCGACTGAGCACATAGCCTGCTCCTCCCGACATGTAACCCTGCTTCACAAAGGGTTTGAACTTGAAGCCGAAATGTACGGGTGTCTCGGGATTATAGGGATATAGCATATAGCGCAAATTCTCGACAACCGCATAGGTATCATCATCTGCCTTGTAGAACCAATCCGCGTCGTTGAAATGATGCTTGTACACATATTTAAATGCCTCCTTCACTTTGCGCCAAAGATTCTCTCGCCCTTCTCCAACATCCAACTTTACCGTGGGTAGCTCATCATCCTCTCCGGAGCTCATGAATAGGAGAATATTACAGCGTTTGCCCCAGGTTCGTTTGACATGGCGAGCCTTCTTTTTGTGATTTTTAGGATTTGTCATAATCCAGCAGAGTACACGCACCTCCTTCTTTAGCTTATCGGCTAGCGAAGAATCATCGTTTGGATGCTCGTGTTTAATCACATGGAAATCTGGTATTGTATCTTCGGCTTCCTTGTGCTGGAAAAGGGGTTCGCTGCTGGCTAAAATATTGTTGGATTTGATGCCTTCCGATATAGTTATGTAGGATATAATTTGAGCCAGACAAAAACCGATGAGAAGACCAATCATAAGTGTAAGCAATGAACGTGTTTTGGAGGCACGCGCTAAAAAATTTCAATTGCCTCAGAACATATTTAAATTCTATTTGGAATTCGTGTCGGTTACCTTCGTATAGAACGGAGTGTGCAACCATTTTGTATGACGTTTCCAGCTTTAACACTTGTCTAAACACACACAAACCAGCTTTGTTCCAAGTCCAAGAAATTCTTAAGTTTAAAATAACTTCACTGGCTTTGCATATCCAGTATATTAATCTATGCTTTCACCTTGTACATGTATATATTTAACATGACATTTTTATTTAGGTTTTAACATAATTAGCTTTATTTTAATATTATTATGCACTTAATTTGACACACTTTATTAATAAAGAGCGAGTACCCAAAAAGCGAACCGAAGTATTTCACGTTGCCGAATCAACTAAGCTCCTAAACCGAAAACTGTCTGAGTTATAGGTGACAATAGGCACATGTATTAGATAGCACTTGTGCAAATAGAAAAAAATAAAGGTCTTTATCTTATGTGGGTCGATTACTTGGTATTTGCTTTTATAACCATTTAGCCCATTACAAATGGGTGAGAAGAGCATAATGCTTTTGTTCTAATGTATCTAACAGGCAGAAGGAAGCATGTCCGTGTAAAAGTAGAGTCGATCCAGCCATGTCCGTCTCATAAGAGCTAAAGACTTGAAATAGATGTTGGAATTACGGTCTCGGGTCCTATTGAGGGAACACTTTTTTATTTTTTAAAACTTACTTTTATTACGGCTAAAGCAAATGAACTCGTATTTGGTAGAAGAGGGTGTGAGTATTACGTAGTCGGGAACTCCCGACAAGATTATCTTACTTGTTTGTTTTTTTTTGTACTTGTTGTGGGTTTAAAGAACTTAATCATTTTAATTTTCAAAGTAAAATATTTGTAACTCAAAGTCACATTTTGTTAAACTTCTGTAACAAGTTCTTATGCCAGTTCCTTACGCTTTACGTTTTCAATTTTCACCATTCGCTGACGAGTGACAACTGACATATGAGCAGGGGTCTTTAAAGCTTCATAAATACGAACCCTATCAAATTAAAAATAAAAAAAAAAAACGAATCTTGCACTTGGTAGCACGTGAAGGGCTAATCTGTAGATAAGTTTTTCAATTGGAAAAAACTTCACACTGAGGCGTGGCAAGGCTCCAGCAGTCTGGATAGACGGTAGCCCCCTCCACCCTGGCAGAAGCGCCAAGTATCTTGGAATTGTACTGGATAAGAGGCTTAGCTTTCGGGCGCACATCGACGGCCTTCTTAAGCAGTGCCGCTATAAGATGGCCAAGGCCAACTGGCTACTAAACCCCAACAGCCCATTGCCACTTCGCTGCAAACGGGCAGTTTACAACGTCGTGGTGGCACCAACTTGGAGATACGGTATTCAAGTTTGGGGCATCGCATCTCGGACAAATCGAAAACGGATTCAGACACTCCAAAACTTGGCCTTGCGCCGAATTACGGGTGCTGACTGGTACGTCAGAAATTCAACCTTGCACAGAGACCTCAAAATGGAGACCATAGACAGCCAAGTCGGAGCATTCGCCAACCGGTACAGCGAACGCTTGCAGCGACACTGCAGCCGGGTAGCAAGAGACCTCGCTGGGAGGTGTGTAGTCAGGAGGCTCAAGAGAAGATCGTTCAAGGACCTCCTCCAACCACGACATAGGAGCCGCCCCAGAGTCCCCCGACTACCTACGTGACGATGCAGCCTTACTCAAAAACGTCAAAGGCGGCCGTTTGTCCACGATAAAGCCTGAGGACCCAAACAGGCTTGGCGTAATATCACCTAAGCCAACTGTGTTGTAATAAAAATGTATGCTATTTTTGATCCAATACAATAAACAAACAAAAAAAAAAAAAAAAAAAAAGGAAAAAAATTGATAAAAAGATGGGCGGAAGCCGGTAATTCTAAACTTTGGTTTCTTATTCGATGGACTTTAAACATATTTTCAAAGAGATAAAAAATTTTCTAAGAGATAACATAATATTCAGATGCTTTGTTGCTGTTTTTCCTTGAGTTTTAAGTTCTTCTCTTGGGAGTTCGCATGTGTTCCATTTTGTTGGAGAATTAGTTCATTTTTAGTATCCTTGTCAGTAGCTTGTAATTGCTCTCTGGTATAGGTATCAAAGGAATCAATTCGAAACGGCGTTGAGTAGAGTTTTACCAAGAAAATGGTCACAAATAAACCCACGAAAAGTGTAAAGAACTTGTTTTGTGCTAAAATTCGTATTTATTACATAAAAATAGTTTTAGATATTTAATTTGGTATTTTTTGACCTATTACGATACCTTTCCGCAGTGAATGTGTCCGCATTTTGATGTTTTAACTTTAACTGTGCAGGTCTGTATGAAAAGTATTCCCAACAATAAAATATACAAATATTCTCTCATATCAGACACTTGAGTCAATAGAAAGACCAATGATCTAAATTCCACCATTAGCTTAAGAGGCATTTGACTTTAAGATATATTTTTGTGGGAATGTTGAATTTTCTAAACTAGATATTTTATTTTATTCGATTGTAATAAATATAAGAATTAAGGACCTCATAGAAGCTAATATTACATTTTCTTATTTATGTGAACCGAGCAGACACACATCACTTTTACGACTAGGCTAAAAAGATGATAAGCCAACGTATCATAAAGTCTATGAGACCTACCACACGCAACTCGCTCTCACTCTGTCTCTCGGTCTCTCTTTCTCACACACACAATGTTTAAACAATTGACAATGGAAAAGAGTTGCGTTTGGTAAGTCTATATCAGAAGTTTAAAAACAACAGATAAGCAAATTAAATTAATGGTAAGAGGGCTCGGGAGTACCCGACAAGGGGATACCCTGGACCTTCTTCCACCAATACCATATGCAGATTATTGAATTAAATCGATCGGTCGTTCCTATGGCAGCTGTATGATAGTGGCCCGATCCGACAGGATCCGACATATGCACTACCTACAACAATTAGACGGACGTATGGAAATTTGCGAGTTGGTTGCTTCTATGCGTTACATATTTCATGTCAAAATTATAATACCATCTTCGTGGCTATAGTATATTGAATAATATGATATGTAAGATACTTCAATGTGCTATTTGAAGTCCCGTTGTATTTCGCTCGGGCAAAAATTCCCCTACAGCCAGTTTTTTAGGCAACGGCAGTTGTTCGTTGATAATGCCAAAAGGTCTCAGATGATAAATCAAAAAGTCCAGTACATACATTTCCTTGGGCGAAATGTAGTGAAAAGATACAGCCGTATCTGCCAGACAATTGGAACCCTAAAAGAAAGTTCCATTAGATGAAATTTAACTAGTTTGAAAGCCAGTTAACACCTTACATCTGTCGTATTGTAGAATATGTATTTCCAGTACCAGAAGTCCGTATCAACTTTGGCAGTTAAATGATCTCTGGGCGCAAATGGATACATGCGGCCGCGTCCATGGTCATCACGAGAATCGCCAGCGGTTACATTTAGATTCTCCATGCATCTCCCTATTTCAATATCCTCGTTCTCAACGGTGCCCTGTAGACACATCTTGGGATCGGGTATGCCGTCAACAACAAATCGTCGTAGTGCCTCCCGGCTGAGCACATAACCTGCTCCTCCCGACATGTAACCCTGCTTCACAAAGGGTTTGAACTTGAAGCCGAAATATATGGGCGCGTCGGGGCTATAGGGATATAGCATATAGCGCAAATTCTCGACAACCGCATAGGTATCATCATCTGCCTTGTAGAACCAATCCGCGTCGTTGAAATGATGCTTGTACACATATTTAAATGCCTCCTTCACTTTGCGCCAAAGATTCGTTCGACCTTCTTCAACGTCTAACTTCACAGTGGGGAGCTCATCATCCTCTCCGGAGCTCATGAATAGGAGAATATTACAGCGTTTGCCCCAGGTTCGTTTGACATGGCGAGCCTTCTCCTTGTGATTTTTAGGATTTGTCATAATCCAGCAGAGTACACGCACCTCCTTCTTCAGTTGCTCTGCTAGGGAGAGTCTCTCTAGTTGGTAATGCCGATGATGGTTTCCCACAGGAATGTTTCTATTATTGAGCAGCTGAGTCAAACAGTAGCCCAAGACTAGACCCGCGATGAGGGTGTAGAGCAAACGAGTTTCAAAAAATCGTCTATGGTTAGCAAACATTTTAAGCCCGCATTCGTGTATGCCAATGTTTGACAATACCTATCGACTTGGAACTTTAAATAATCTTAATATTCTTAACATCTATTTGATTCTCAGAACCGCAACGACGCGTATTTTCGAAATGACTAGGATTATAGACTGCCTTTACTTCGGTTCTTATAGGCTCCATTTGGGGTTGTAATTTTATTTACTCCGGCCTATGCAAGCTTATATTTGTTAAGCTTGGCATAAATAATATACCAATAAATATATACCAATTGTACAAATTAAAATGGGAACGTTTTGGGGTATCTTTCAGATGTCATTTCTTATGCATTGCTAAAGCTAATCAAATATATGTAGCAAAATGTTTATAAATAAACAGAGCGCCGGCGAACGTGTCTGAAGGTCTTAAAGTACACTGTGCTACAAAATTAATATAACATACAATAATATATAAGAAATAAAAGATAAATATAAATAATAACAGGAAAGTAAGGATATCTTAGGCGTGACGAATATTTAATACCCCTACGGTTTTGCAGATATGTGAGAATAGTGAAGCTCGAAAATTATGAGTTTGATGAAAATATATTCGAAATATTTACAAGAACTTTTCCACTGACCGCTCCTACGCCAGCTTTAATTTCAACTCGTGTGTTGATGCTGGTCTAGAATATATATACTTTATGACATAAATACAATAGCTTCGGCAAGTGTATATCAATACAAACGCCGATTTTATACAATAATTGTAGCCAAGTCTTATAATTGATTTTGAACCGAACCAGTTTAAGCCCAGATATCCCAATTTTAATTGAACCAATAAATGAAATCTGTTTCAAAAAAAAAAAAAAAAATCTGCAAAATTTAAATATGTAATCAAAAAATTAAAATAAAATATGACAATTGGTTTAAGTGAGATTTTAAAGACAAAATATAATACGTGAACATGGCTTAGTATTAAATTTGGAGTTACCGAAAACTTCCTTCACATTCTTCAAAAATTTCTACCGATATTTATAAGCAAAGTTTTTATTTTTAGAGCAGTGAAGAGCTTATTTAATGTTTTTAATTACGGGATGGTTAAGACAGCGTTCATATCAAACAAAAATAAAGTTTAAAATAAGTCTTTCGTTTAATTAGATAGTGAAAATGTAAACGTGTGAACCAGCTTAAGCAGTGCATAATGTAAGCAGTTCAAATGCAGTTATATATTTGCAGTCGCTGTTTCCTGCTTGCCAAGCAGTGTACACATATAAGTGCCCAAATTTCAATTTAAGAATGTCGTTACTTTTGAAGCCAGCCCTAATTGTTTCAAATGTGCGACCTAATATATTTTTTTAAATAAATAGCACCTGGTTATTTAAAAAATTTCCATTTTTCCAAATGGGTTTTTGATATAAAATGTATATCCTTAAGAAAATCTTTCAAAGGTCAAAAATTTATTCCATTTGTAATACAATATTTTATTAAATATTTAAGAGTTAATGGTAGAGTGTAATACATTTTCTCAGTAGCATTGCCGATGTTTATATATGTACGTATTAAAGCTTATCGAAAGATTAATGTCAATTTTAAATTTATTGTTTATTGCTAACTAAATGTATGTATGTATGTGTATGTTTAACTTATTTGCGTTGTCTTAAAAGCTAATTATGTGCCATTTGCATTATAAATACCTAATCAAATGTAACTATACCTATTTATAAGTATATATTTTAAATGATAATTGCGCAGACTTTATTACAAACTAAACTAACAGCACTCAATTATTCTGGTTTTGGTATTTTTGTACAAAAGAGTCGCAATTCAAGAGCATTTAATTAACGTAGCCTGAGCGTTTTTTACTAAAACAAGAGACAACATATGGAAATGGCAAAGTATGTTAAGCTAAGTTCGCTATTTACAAAAGTTTTATATACACATAACATCAATCTGTAATCACTGCGCCTGCTTTTGTGTTTCGGCAGTATTTGATTCCTCCAGCTCCTTGGGCTCTTTGGGCTCTTTGGGCGCTGGCATCAATTCGCCCAGGCCCAGCTTATTGGGTAGAACATCTGGCGAATTAACTATGCCATATGGCCTCAGATGATATATCAAATAGTCTAGCACATACATTTGATTGGGCGACACATAATGAAATGATATGGCATTATCCGAACAGCAGTCCAGACCCTGAAGAAAAAAAGGGGAGTCATGAGTTAGTATGAGTCTTTGCATGAAATGGATGGAAAAGTGATGGAAGAATTGAGCCGGGCATAGCCGGGTATAATTTTGTAATATCTCACCTCGTCTGTTTTGTAGAAGATATACTGCCAGTACCAGAACTTCTTGTCCGTGTGCGAGGGTATCAAATGATGCTCCGGCACAAAGGGAAAGAAGCGTCCACGACCATTGGCATCACGGGAATCGCCCGCCAAAACCTTAACATTCTCCATGCACTTGCCCATTTCCACATCCTCGGCGCCGGTGTTGTCCTTTTTGCATAGCTTGGGATTGGGCAACGCTTCAACGACAAAGCGCCGCACTGCCTCGCGACTGAGCACATAGCCAGCTCCGCCGGACATATAGCCCTGTTTAACGTACGGCTTGAACTTGCAGCCAAAGTAGACGGGCGTCTCGGGATTATAGGGATATAGCATAAAGCGCATATTCTCAACAATCGTATAGGTATCGTCGTCGGCTTTTAGGAACCAGTCCGCATCGTTGATGTGGTTCTTGTAGATGTATTTGTACGCCTCCTTCGTTTTGCCCCACAGATTATTGCGTCCCTCGCCAATGGGCAATGCCACAGAATCCAGTTCCTCATCCTTGGCGGAGCTCATGAAGATCAGCTTATTGCAACGCTTGCCCCAGGTGCGCTTTACGTGGCGCGCCTTCTTCTGGTGGTTGGCGGGATTTGTCATGATCCAGCAGAGAATTCGCACCTCGCTGTACAGCTTCTCCGCAATGCTGGTATTCTCGTGCGCATGCTCGTGCGTGCCCACATCCTGCTCTGGACCAGCCAGCTCCAGCATGTCGTGACTGTGATGCGCATCGTTGACATCGCCATGCCGGTGGCCATCGTACGGCACATACTCGCCACGTTCCGGCGTCGATGAGTACACAAATAGCTCGGCCAGACAGAAGCCGACGACCAGGCCGACGATCAGTGAGACGAAGGAACGTTTGTTGGAACGTCCTGAAAATATGGAATGCTAAAGATCAGTTGGTTTTCTTTTATCGAAAAATCGCTTAAATGTCCAGAATTTATATATGTATGTTTTTTTTATGAGAACATTTTTCATACATCCTAAAGATTAGATGGGAAGGAGTTTTGCTCTTATTTCAACGAGGGACACATTTCTTAACCCTAAAGTATATTTGGATTACTTTCTTCCATATCCAAAAATCTATAAAAATCGAATTTCAGCCCAATTTCGTTTTACAATGAGTTTTGAAAGAGATAATTTTGAATCGATTTTTGGTATATGCGCTTATGCCATATTTATGAACTATATACTGTATAAATTAGTGTAAACAACGATCGCATTATACGAAGAACATTTATTGAAAATTACATTTGCCATATAGTGCCATTGTGAAAAGAAGATGCGCAGCTGTTGCAAAAATTATTCAGATACACTCAAACAATAAAAAAGTTTACCAAATTTATGAAAATCGCCATAAATTGAAACATTTTAACATTTCTAAAACTTTTTTATACTTTTAACAAAAAAACTATATGTTTTTTTCACATTTAAATTTATCTATATTTGAGAAATCTTTTTTTGCATTAAAGAAAAACTATCTATTTGAAAATAAGGAATTGCTTTTTTAATAATAAGAATAGGGCAAATAGCTTTACGCCCGATTGCATTGGCGAATTTCTAATTATAAGTTCTGTATTTCGGGTCCTTTTTTTCGGCCTATATGTTTGTAATTGTGTATGTCTGCATATAGTTAAGCTGGGAACAGGGTATTTCTTAGTCCGTAGAGTCAAGAGTGACTCGATCATTCCAATTTGTTTTCTATTGTGAGTTTAGAAATGAAATTCATGTGTGCCACTTACCTTCATTAAGTAAGGATCGTCCCAGTAGGCTATTGGCAGTCATTTGGCTTTAACTCGGGCTACGTGCTATGAGCTAGGAGGATTTGAAGGATGTGGGCAATGTATGGCAACCTCTATGCTTGGCACCTACTCTTTGGGTTTTTCGGGGGCCTTGAGCCTCTTTGGTTGCGTTAAAGTGCGTTGAAGTTCCTATTTCCTGTGCGTTTTACATCTTCTGCAAGATAAACGAGAAAACATGCTTTTAGTATCAGTTCAAATAAATAGTTAAACTCTCGTATTCCTCACAGGCGTGGACCAGTCAGTGAAGCCCGTTCTACAAGCCTGAAGAATTCTACAATTGTAAAGTGTCTTCTGCACTTGTCTGTCTCTCAATTACAAGTGTCTTCCATCTGAGAATTGTGCAATGGTGCGATGCTCGAGACATGACTGGATTATTAAATATGCGAAAACGTGACAATTGAATCATTCGAATCGCACTAAGCTCAGCTGCAACGTTTTCCATTTGCTCAATTTTTTGCATCTTTAACTTATTATTTCGTTTATATCTCTTGCTTTGTTTTTTGCTCATTTTCCCATTTTCATGCATTCTGCTATGCGTTGGTGTTGATAACAATTAATTATCTCTCGCACGTGTGTTACATCTGATTACCTGTGCGCTCAACTGGGTCAAGAGTCTGCTGCTTCTTATTGTTTCTGACATTCACATATTCGAGTCTTATGCTTGCCAGTTAGAAATTTTACTTTTGATCTTTTCTATATAGTGAACATCAACATTTTTACACATTTACATATTTATTTAGCTAATTTCACGTTGACTTGTTAGTTCGGGTCTTAAGTTCACAGACACACTTATTTTAACTTTACAAATATCATGGGCAAAATGTTATTTTGGATCTATATGCAAATCACGTTCGGGTCACAGCCATAAATGCTACACATATTTAACTACAGAAATTCAACACTTTGT